GTGTTCTTCAAACTAAAATCCACCTTTCTCTCTGCATCTATTCTTGTACGTCTGGACATTTTTCAGCCCTTTTTCTTGGAACTAGATGCTTCATCTTTGGGAGTGGAGGGCCATCCTTCTCCAAATGCATGATGGTAAGCTCTGTCCTTGTGCCTTCCTCTCTAAGACGTTTTTGGATTTTGAAAGGAATTACATCATCGGGGATCAGGAACTGCTGGCTATAAAGCTGGCACTGCAAGAATGGCTACATCTGCTGGAGGGATCTCCACATCGTATCCTGATTTATACTGATCATAAGAACCTCCTGTATCTGCAATCCGGCATTTGAATCCCAGACAAGCAAGATGGGCTCTCTTCTTTGCCAGATTCAACTTTGATATTACCTTCCAGCCGGTTCCAAACATGCCCGCGCAGATGCCTTGTCCAGATCATTTGATATTGCTGACTTTGAGTGTCATGTTGAACTGGAACCTATTATTTCTGCCAGTTTGTATCCTGGCCATCACTTATCCCACCTGGAAAGACCTTTGTGGTCCCCGCCCTCCACTCCAAGCTACTTAAATGGAAACAAAACTCTAAACTCTCTGGGCAGCCTGGTGTGCACTGCACCTGTGCCTTCCTGCAGCGTCATTACTGGTGGCTCTCACATCGGAAGAATGTTGAAGAATACATTCAGGCTTGCTCTATTTGTGTGCAGCATAAGTCCTCCTCATCTGCTCCAGCAGGTCTAATTTTATCTCTACCTGTTCCAGATGAACCTTGGCATTGCATTTCCATGGACTTTATCTCTGAACTACCCCCCTCAGCAGGTTTCACCGTTATCTGGGTGGTTGTGGACAGTTTTTCTAAAATGTGTCACCTAACTCCTCTTCCAGGACTACCTTCTGCTGTCACTTTGGCTTTCGTCTTTATTAAGGAAATCTTACATCTTCATGGTATGACCTTGCACATCATCTCTGATAGAGGTGTTCAATTTACAGCTTGCTTCTGGAGGGCTCTGGCCACATCCTTCAGAATCAAGTTGAACTTCTCATCCTTTCACTCGCAGTCAAATGGACAAACTGAAAGGGTCAACCAGAATGTTGAATGGTATCTTCGTGCCTTCATTTCGGGCCATCAGGATGATTGGGTAGACCTTCTACCCTGGGCAGAGTTTGCCCTTAATAATCATGCCAGTGCCAGCACTGGTGAGTATCCCTTTTTCACTGTGTATGGTCATCATCCTTCTGTACCATTTCCCGTTCCCTTCTCCTCTGCGGTGCCTGTGGCTGCAGAGACACAACGATCATTCAGTTCTATCTGGGCAGAGGTTTCCAAGAATTACATCTGGCAGCTTCCAAATTCATCAGAGGGAAGCTTTTGTATCTAATTGACTGGAAGAGATATTGTCCTGAGGAGAGGTATTGGATTCCTTCACCTGCTATTCTCTGGGTATTATTTCCTTCCCTTCCATCACTTCCTGGCCTGCATCCTAGTTTGCTTGTCTATATAAGACATACTGAGTATAGCCCACTTTGCCTAAGCAACTTCTTAGTTCTCTGAGCTCCCATTTGTTGCTACTTCTATATCTGTGTCTGACTACCCATGGACCGACCCCGGCTTCGTCCACCAACTGTGCTTATTTTCTGCCTGTCCTGACCTCGGCTTGTCTATTGGATTTTCTGTCGTCTCCTGCTATAGTACTCTGCTCATGCGAGCGGTCTCCACATCCTCAGCTGGGCGTACCTGGGGGACACAACCTGGTTCCAGTTTGCTGCAAGTTCATCCCCACCATCAGGTGCCCTGGTGAAGAAACAGGCTGGAACTCCGCACCCTGTGGAACCCCGAGCTGGCGATCTACAAAAGCTCGCTACCACAGACACTTGACAATTTTCCTAAATAAATTTTAATTGTGGGGGGGGGGGGGGGGGGGGAGCTCAGAGGCAACTACACAAACACTTTTACATAAAGGGGATTTTTTGTAATATGTACTGCGATGCACATTACCACTTCAGCTCCAGTAGGTTTTACCCCCTTCATGACCAGGCCATTTTTTGCTATGCTGTACTAAACAAAATTTATATCATTTGTTTCACACAAAATAGTGCTTTCTTTTGGTAATATTTGATATGTCCGAGATATAAACGAAATAAGACTGAAATTTTTTTTTTACTTTCTGTTATATAATATATCCAATAAAACATTTAAAAAATCTAATTTCTTCATACATTTTGGCCAAAATATATTCTGCTACACATTTTTTATTTAAAAAAAAATCCCAGTAAGTGTATATTGATTGGCTTGTGTGAAGGTTATAGTGCCTACAAACTATGCTATATAATAGTCATAGTGGTGATCAGCAACTTATCATGGGACTACGGGAGTGTGATGGGCAATTTGACACTAACTGACACTGACTATCTACCAGTGACATCACCAATGACATTAATACAGTGATCAGTGATAATACTATACATTGTCACTGCACTAATGGCAGTGGTTGGGAAGGGGTTAACATCTGGGGCAATCATAGGGTTAAAATATTTCTAACTATGTGTAACATGTGTAAAGTGTGTTTGTCTTACCAAACAATCTCTAAGTTTCTCATCCCTGCTTCTCAGGGATGAGAAACTTACAGATCGCCCCCTCTGTACATAGCTCTGTGTGGTTTATCAACACAGAGCTCTGGACTGTGACTGTACACAGCCAATCAACAGATCCCGGCCACTTGCTGTGTACAACCTAAGTGGGGGGGGGGGGGTACGTCACTTTGCCTACAGCATCCGCCCATCCGCAATACATTGCAGGCAGGCGGTCATCATGATGAAGTTAACATATGTTGCATTTGTTAGCTCGCTGCCATTCACTTTGAATGACATTTTTGTTAACATATGCAACATATGTTAACCTCTGCATGACCACCTTCCTGCAATGTACTGCGGATGGGCAGATGCCGTAGGCAAAGCAACATATGGGTATGTCACTGCCTACTTCCGGGTTTCGGGCATGCAACCCTACACACACCCCGCCGGTTCCAGCTTTGATTGTACACAGTTGGAGCCTGTAAACAAAAATGTCATTCAGCAATCTCCAGCTGTGTACAATCACAGCAGGTGATAACAAGGTGTGGGGTGGGGGATGCCCAAAACCCAGAAGTAGGCAATGACGTACCCGTATGTCGCTTAGCCTACAACATCTACCCATTTCACTCATTTGGGCAGTCACGGGGCACGACGAAGAAGAAGAAGAAGAAGAAGAATGAAAAGAAGAAGAAGAAGATGAAAAAAGAAGAAGAAGAATGAAAAGAAGAATGAAAAGAATACGAAGAAGAATGAAAAGAAGAAGAAGAAGAATGAAAAGAAGAAGAAGAAGAATGAAAAGAAGAATGAAAAGAAGAAGAAGAAGAATGAAAAGAAGAATGACAAGAAGAAGAAGAAGAATGACAAGAAGAAGAAGAAGAATGAAAAGAAGAAGAAGAAGAATGAAAAGAAGAATGAAAAGAAGAAGAAGAAGAATGAAAAGAAGAAGAAGAAGAATGAAAAGAAGAAGAAGAAGAAAGAAAAGATGAATGAAAAGAAGAAGAATGAAAAGAAGAAGAAGAAGAAGAAGAAAAATGAAAAGAAGAAGAAGAAAAATGAAAAGATGAATGAAAAGAAGAAGAATGAAAAGAAGAAGAAAGAAGAAGAATGAAAAGAAGAATGAAAAGAAGAAGAAGAATGAAAGAAGAAAGAAGAATGAAAAGAAGAATGAAAAGAAGAAGAAGAAGAATGAAAAGAAGAAGAATGAAAAGAAGAAGAAGAAGAAGAATGAGAAGAAGAATGAGAAGAAGAATGAAAAGAAGAATGAAAAGAAGAATGAAAAGAAGAAGAAGAAGAATGAAAGAAGAATGAGAAGAAGAATGAAAAGAAGAATGAAAAGAAGAATGAAAAGAAGAATGAGAAGAATGAAAAGAAGAATGAAAAGAAGAAGAAGAAGAATGAAAAAGAAGAAGAAGAGAATGAAAAGAAGAATGAAAAGAAGAAGAAGAAGAATGAAAAGAAGAAGAAGAAGAATGAAAAGAAGAAGAATGAAAAGAAGAAGAAGAATGAAAAGAAGAATGAAAAGAAGAAGAAGAAGAATGAAAAGAAGAGGAAGAAGAATGAAAAGAAGAAGAAGAAGAAGAAGAATGAAAAGAAGAATGAGAAGAAGAATGAAAAGAAGAATGAGAAGAATGAAAAGAAGAATGAAAAGAAGAATGAGAAGAATGAAAAGAAGAATGAAAAGAAGAAGAAGAATGAAAAGAAGAAGAAGAAGAATGAAAAGAAGAATGAAAAGAAGAAGAAGAAGAATGAAAAGAAGAAGAAGAAGAATGAAAAGAAGAATGAAAAGAAGAAGAAGAATGAAAAGAAGAAGAAGAAGAATGAAAAGAAGTAGAAGAAGAAGAATGAAAAGAAGAAGAAGAATGAAAAAGAAGAAGAATTCCAGTACAGCAAAAAGTGTATCTGCAGAGAGCTCCGCTATTTCTGACAGTTCTCTGACAGTTCCTTCACATTTACAGCGGTTGAAAAACATTGTATCTATTTGTTTCCGAATAAAAACATCTGTATCCTAAATGGAAACAAATAGATACAATGTTTCAACCGCTGTAAATGTGAAGGAACTGTCAGAGAACTGTCAGAAATAGCGGAGCTCTCTGCAGTGACACTTTTTGCCGGCTGATCGGGGAAAATTCGATTCGTGCATCCGAAGTTTGCTAAAATTCGGATTCGGTGTCGAAAATCGAATTTTTCCTAATATTCGAAACGAATTCCACTTCGCCAAGTTCGATTCGCTCATCTCTAGTTAACATATGTTACATATGTTAGCACATTGTGGTGCCATTCATTTTGAATTACATTTTAACCTCCTTGGCGGTATTCCCGAGTGTAGCTCGGGGTAGAATTTCTATACCAAGAACGGTAACCCCCGAGCTACACTCGGGCTTACCATGCAGCGTTCTCTGGGGGTCCCTGCAGCACTTACCTTGTCCTTCGCTCCCACGATGGGTCCCCCTGCAGTGTCCCCGTCCATCTCCTCCTCCGGCGGATGCCGGCATCTGGCTTCCGTGTTCCGGTCCCTGTGACGTCGGAACGTTTCGGGGGGTCGGGCGGTGGAACCGGCGGGAAATTTGAAATTTTTAAAAGATGACATTTTTGCTGTCATTGCTTTTTCACTGCATTTCACATACATTTTTGTCCCCACTGCTTTGTCCTGTGCCCTGCCTGCATTTTGACTGTTCTTTCTGCCTGGAAACTTAGAAAAATCCATGGCGGCCAAAAAGCATCCCTTTACGTCAAAAGCGGTTTTTAGAACAGCGATAGTAAATCAGAACCACTTGCAGAATTGAGTGATAATGATTTTGTGGGGAAATTCGTCATCAGACACTGAAAACGATTTTGCGACTTTGCTCAGCGATGTGCGAATTTTTGCCTCTGTATTTCAAATTTCAGTGTTTTTGGTTTGATTATAATTTATATTATTGAATTAAATTTATTATTATTATATTATTATTTTTTTTATGATTATTTTATTAAATTATAATTTATGATTTCGTGTTTCAAGTTTTATCACATATCCGGAATGTTTAATAGACTCTTTTTCGGATAGATTTCAGTGAGTTATTCCTAAAAATTACAGCCTACAATAAAAAATCTACATATTTCCATGCAAAAAAATGGTACCGCTTTCAGCACAAATTCCTGACATAATCATACCGCCAGGGAGGTTAATGCACTAAGGTAATACAGCTTTGAAACTTAACACCATGTGCTGTGGGTGCTCTGCAATGCTACATGTACATTTTTGGTGTGAGTTTATTTTGCATTGGCAGCCCCTTCAAATGTAATAACTGCTTTAACACAACAATGTTAGCGTGTGACACACACATTACTGCAACACACAAGAACACAATATACTGCATTTCTTTGTGATTAATACCAGGGTGTTTTCTGTACTCCAAAAATGTAATTAGCTTGAAAAAATTAAAAAAATAACGCAGCCACCACATTTAAGGACCGTTAAGCTGACAACAAAACATGACATGTTTGTTTTAGATTTAGATATAGTTTAACCACTAGGGGGATCACCCGCAGTACATATACTGCTACAAGGTGGCCCCTGTGCGCAGGATCAGGTGTATAAAAACGTGACCTGCATTCCAGGTAGGGGGAGCGCGCGAGGCATTTGCGACCACTCTACCCGCGGTCGGTTACCGATCATGGCCGCGGGGTGTCATCACCGGGTCCCGGCCGGAGATTACCCGCCGGAGCCCAACGATTGCCGGCAAAGACTGACAGGGAGGAAGGCTGCATTGTTTTCAATGTAGCTCTCCTCCCTGTCAACTTTCAGCACACGGTTTTCCCCTTTTCTTGTTTTCCGGGGTGTTGCTGGACACAGCCTTCCGGAACAGTGTGTAAAAGAGAGGTACACACCCCCGCCCCCCTAGTAAAACACTCCCCTCACACAGTTAACCCTTTGATTGCCTCCAAAAGTTAACCCCTTCCTCCCAGTGCCATTATTACAGTCAGTGGGTTTTTTTTTTTTGCACTGATCACTGTAGTTGTGTCACTGGAGATGTCTGTGACCCCCAAGTCAGTTCCCCCCAGTGTCAGAATGTCTGCCACAGTCCCCGCAGTCCCGCCAAAAGTCACTGATCACCGCCGTAAGCCGCTGATCGCCACTATTATTAGTATAAAAAAAAAATCCAGTATCTATACCGCCCATTTGTAAACGCTAGAACCTTTCACGTAAACCAATTAATTTTACACATATGTGGATTTTTTGTAGCAAAAACATGTTGCAGAATATAATTTGGCTGAAATTTATGACAAAATGTGATTTTTAAATTTTTTTACTGGACATGTTTTTTTAGCAAAAAGTCCAAATATTGTTTTTTTTATTTCTCAAAATTGTTGGTTCTTTTTTTATAGAACAAAAAAATAAAAAAACGCACATGAGATCAAATACCACCAAAAAAAAGCCCAATTCGTGGGGAAAAAAGGATGGTAAATTTCATTTGGTGCAGCTTTTCATGAACACGCAATTGTCAGTTAAAGTAACGCAGCGCCATAACACAAACCGCTTATGTATCTGCATCCTGACCGTCCTAAACCATAAATACCTGCAACAGGGCAACACATGTGCGCAAAATCACACACATATATATATATATATATATATATATATATACATGATTCTCACTCCCGTGGTTTTTACACCCCTCCGAGATGGTGTCAGAATTGCCCTTCAGTACACCAGTAATCACATTTAACCCTTGATTGCCAGGAACACACTCATACACAATAAACCTCCATTGCTAGTTTGTATAGTGTCTGAATGGATCAATATCTTTGATCAGATCAGTACTATACCAGCGTTCATGCAGCATTAGCGGGATCAGCCCCGCACCTGCCAGCACCTGCGTTTAGCCCCTAACGCTTACCACCCCCCTTCTTCTGCAGCAAGTGCAGTGCCAGTAGGTCACTGTCACTTGATACATTATACACAAAAACCGCAGTGTTCGCAGGATCAGGCCTGATCTCTGTTTGCACTTGCCGGTAAATTTTGAATGACTCTCATATGAAGCAAGAGTGCCCAGAACAGTGCCCCGCGTTACCTTTTTGGAAAACTGCTGAGCACCAGCGGTCTAGTACATCCTGGTCTTTCACATACCTCTTAGAGTGTAAGCTCCCAGATCAGGCCCGTCTCCTAACCCTCATTGTATTGAACTGTTATTGTTGCTGTATTGTCTCCGTAATATTGTAAAGTGCTGAGCAAACTGTTGGCACTATATAAATCCTGTATAATAATAATAATAATCACCAGCACTGCAGTATGACTTGGCGACGTGGCGAGTTCCCATAAGTGCAGTACAAGCTGGTGTGGTATCGAGCACAAGTATTGTCCCTCAACCACCAAGAAGTCACACACAGGCCCATAGAGCCCCTAATATCTTTCCAGATTGTGCTTGTAAATCCTGATGGCAGCCCCACAAATTCTCTGCAGCACACCGTTCTTCCCCCATTTACTGCCCAACCTGAAATTCAGGTGAAAACAGCAAATTTAACTACACCACTTGATTTTTTGGAGCTGTTTTTCACGGAAGATCTGTATGCATTGATTGTGGATCAAAGCAATTTATATGCACAACAATTTATCACCGCCACCAAAATTCAAACCTTGCCAGACACATGGAAACTCCCGAATTTATATATTTTTTGGGCCTAACCCTCAATATGGGCATTACAAAAAAAAATGAATTACGATTGTAATTGGTCCACAGACCTGATTCATCATATGCCCGTGTTCTCTTCTGCCATGGCCAGACATAGATACGAGAGTATAATGTGTTTTATGCATTTCAACGACAATACACTCTGTCGTCCTCAAGGTGACCCTGAATTTGACCGGCTCACACAAAATTCAGCCCCTCGCAAATCACCTTAACCTAAAATTTGCAGATGTCTATACTCCCCAGCAAAAAATCTGTGTTGATGAGTACCTCATTAATTTTTCTGACCACCTTGCATTCAAACAATTTCTCCCCAGCAAGTGTGCCAGATATGGGGTCATGATGTAGAAGACCTGTGAGAGGACAACAGGCTATACTTATAAGTTTTGGATTTACAAGGGAAAAGTCACATGGAGACCCCCCGCATGCCCAGACTACATGGGGAGCAGTGGCAAGATAGTTTGGGACTTGGTGGTCATCCTTTTTCCATATGGGGTACCACTTATACGTGGACAATTTTTTATTCAAGCATGCCACTATTTAGACATTTGTACAATCTTGGAACTGGCGCATGTGGCACCGTATGACCTAATGTGTGCCCCACCATTAGAAGTGGTGATGCAGGGCGGTATATTTTAATGGTGGGCATACCACCACATTTTTTTTTTGGCAGAGATTTCTTCTCTTTTTTTCATTCAGTCCACAGACTGCATACAAAAAAAAAAGAACATAGCATATATACCCAACAAGGACCAGCGACGTACTGGGTACATCACTGGATTTGAATGGTTATACCAGGATGATGCCTACAGCTGCAGGCATCATCCTGGTATCATTTTTTTCAGCTGGTGATCGTGCTTTCATGTAATTAGTAATCCTTGTGGCTAATTAGCTGCAGGATTGCTTTTACAAGCAGCCAGGAGACCAATGCCCCCCCCCCCCACTGCCTTCCACGGCCTTCTCAGGCAGTCCTGTGCCATCGGGAGAACCTGAGAATGCACCCCGGTGTTTCTGCCAGCTGACCATACTGTAGAGCTGATTGGGGACCAGAATGGTGCCAATCATCTCTATAGCCTAAGAATACAAAGCTACGAGCATTTAATCACTTCAGTTTCACAGGATAAAAACAGCGCCATTTGTAAATTGGGAAAGCATCTGATCACACCGGTCTTGGTTTGATTAGATAATGTAAGGGCAGAGGAGATATCTAGAGTATGATAGACCCCAGATTTCTCAAAAAAAGAATATATGACATTGCCCATTGAAGTTATAGGGGATATTTGCATTCCCTGTGATAGCATTAAAAGTGACAAAAAAAAAAATTAAAGGGCAGTGTAAAAATAATTAAAAAAAATCAAAATAACTTTAAAAAAAAAAAAAGTACCCTTGGCCCCCCATGTGAGGTATCACCACAAAACGTCAGATCAAGGGCAGTAATTCACAACTAGACCTCCTCTGTAAATCTAAAATGGTAGCTTGTAAAGGCTTTTAAAACATTGCCTATGGATATTAAATACGTATGCAGTTTGTCGCCATTGCACGGGGCATGCGCAGTTTTAAAAGCATGTCATGTTTGGCATACCATCATCTTTTATAGTTTACCAAATAATTGGCCAATATATTGTGTTTTCGTGCATTAAAAGTAAAAAAAGTGTATTTTTAAAAAAAAATGCGTTTGAAAAATCGCTGCGCGCGTACTATGTGACATAAAAGATTTCAGCACCCACCATTTTATTCACTAGGGTGTTTGCTTTAAAAAATATAATAATATTTGGGATTTAAATTAATTTCCTAGCAAAAAATACAGATTTTTTTCATGTGAACAAAAAGTGTCAGAAAAGGCTTGGTCTTCTGGTGGTTAGAAGAGTGAATGATGTGTGGCATAAGCTTCTAATGCTGGGCATAAAATGCCCCCACTCCTCAAAAAGAAGTGAAATGAGGAAGTTACGCACCTTCAGGCTTTCAAAGTAGTCATTGGATTTCAGGCTCCTGTATGTGGCTAGGCTCCCTCAAAAAGTCTCACACTCGGTAGAAGTAGCAGAATGTATTTTTAGGGTACAATTCCACATATACCCATGGCTTGTGCAAGAAATGTATCATTTAAATGACAACTTTGTGTAAAAAAAAAAAAAAAGGTTTTTGTCATTTTCCTGAAACATGTGGAAAAAAAATAAATCTTCCACGGACTCAATATGCCTCTCAGCAGATATAGTAGCTTAGGGTGTCTACTTTTCTGAAAAGGGGTCATTTGAGGGTGTTTGTACTATCCTGGTATTTTAGCACCTCAAGAAATGTGATGAGCAGTCAGAAAGTAAAAGCTGTGTAAATTCCAGTATCTATACCATAGTTTGTAGACGCTATAACCTTCACACAAAGCAATCAATATACACTTATAGGGATTTTTTTAACCAAAAACATGTAGCAAAATACATTTTGTCCTAAATTTATGACAGCGTTTTAATTTTTTTGGATATTTTTTATGACAGAAATGAGAAAATATTGGTCAGGGGCGGACTGACCATTTGGAAACTCAGGCACTGCCCAAGGGCCCGGGGTCAGTAGGGGGCCCCATGAGATGCCCCTGGTACTTTTTTCATGGGATTTTTTGAGTTTTGGCAAGAACACAGGGGCCCCATGATCCCCTATTGCCCGGGGGCCCCATGAGTTGTCAGTCCGCCCCTGATATTGTTTTTTTTTTTAAAATAATGTTTTTCCTCAAAAAGTTTTTGTTTATAGTGCCAAAAATAAAAAGCGCACAGGTGATCAAATACCACCAAAAGAAAGCTCTATTTGTGTATAAAAAAGGACAACAATTTCATTTATGTACCATGACCGCGCAATTGTCAGTTAAACTAGTGCAGCGCTGTATAGCAAAAAATTGGCGTAAATTGCAATGTCTATACCATAGTTTGTAGACGCTATAAACTTTCACACAAAGCAATCAATATACACTTATTGAGATTTTTTTTTTACCAAAAACATGTAGCAGAATACATTTTGGTCTAAATTTATAACTAACTTTGAGTTTACTATATATTTTTTTATAGCCGAAAGTAAAAAATATAGTTTTTCTTAAACATTTTTGGTTTTTTGTTTATAGCGTGAAAAATAAAAAGCGCACAGGTGATCAAATACCACCAAAAGAAAGCTCTATTTGTGTGAAAAAAGGACGTAAATTTAATTTGGGTACAACATTGCATGACCGCGCAATTATCAGTCGAATTAGTGCAGCTCCGAATAGCAAAAAGAGGCCTGGGCTTTAACCTCCCTGGCGGTATTCCAGAGTGTAGCTCGGAGTAAAGTTTCAGTACCAAAAGCGGTAACCCGGAGCTACACTCGGGCTTACCATGTGGCGCTGATCTGGGATCTGTTCTTCTCTTACCTTGTCCCCTCCTGCAGTGTCCCCTGAAAGATCCTCCGGCAGATGCCGGCATCTGTCATCTGGGTTCCGTCCCCTGCGAGTGTCGGGACGTACGGGGGACGGAATGGCGGGAGATTTGAAAATGACAAAAAGTGACATTCACTCAATACACTAAAGTCACATAGTAAAACATTACTGTATCAAACCATTTCACATACATTTTGTCCCTAGTGCTTTGTCCTGTGCCCTGCCTGCATTTTTACCGTTCTTTCTGCCTGGAAACTGAGAAAGTCCACGGCGTCCAAAAAGCGTCCCTTTAGGTCAAAATCGGTTTTAGACCAGCTAGAGAACAGCGATAGTAAATCAGAACCACTTGCAGAATTGAGTGATAGTGATTCGTGGGGAAGTTCGTCATCAGACACTGAAAACGATTTTGTGAGTTTGCGCAGTGATGTGGGAACTTGGCGCTATATTTCAAATTTCAGTGTTTTTGGTTTGATTATATTATTGAATTAAATTTATTATTTTATTATTTTTTTTGATTATTTATTAAATTATAATTTATGATTTCGTGTTTCAAATTTTAACATACCCGGGATGTCTACTAGACTCTTGTTCGGACAGATTTCAGTGAGTTATTCCTAAAAATTACAGCCTACAATAAAAAAATACATATTTCCATGCAAAAAATGTACCGCTTTGAGCACTGAAATATGGACATAATCAGACCGCTAGGGAGGTTAAGGGGGCAAATCCTCTAGAGGGCAAGTGGTTAAGTGAAGAAGGCCTTGGGATCATGATGAGACAAAGGAATGTTTCAGTCCAAATTCTGCTGCAATAAAGATTGTAAAAGCTAATAACTATACTACTGTAAAAATATAGTAATTCCATCATGTATTATGTAGTGCCTGTTCAAAACTAAATTAAACCACTTGCCCTCCAGAGGATTTACCCCCCTTCACTGACCAGGCCATTTTTTGCGATATGGTGCTGCGTTATTTTTACTGACAATTGTGCGGCCATGCAATGTTGTACATAAATGAAAAGACAAAAAGCACTGTCACTGTACTAATGACACTAGGCAAGAAGAGGATAATATCTGGGGGCGATCAAAAGGTTAACAGTGTTACAGTTAACAGTGTAACTTATTTTACATAATGTGCTGTGTGTGTTTTACTATGTAGACACGCTGTGTAGACACATGTAAACACGCTGCTTTGTATTGCTCTGCCATGCAGAGCAATACAAAGCAGCCTGTTCATGCTAACAGGGGAAAGATCTGTGTAGTTTACACACAGAGCTCTCCCCTGTCAGCTCCAGTCGAGAATCAGTGGCCGGGACCTAGTAATTGACATGCCGAGGAGCCAACAGTGACGCAGGTAGGGAGCAGGTAGTGGCGGAGGTAGGGAGCAGGTAGTGGAGCAGGTAGGGAGCACTCACGCATGCATGCCCCCTACCCAGAAATGCAAAATCACACATATATATATATGTGATTTTGCACATCCCTGCCTCCCTGTAGCAGTACTTCTGCTATAGGGTGGTTGGAAAGTGGTTAAAACCTATCATGAGTGAGATGTAGGGTGCAGGGGCGGACTGAGAACTCATGGGGCCCCCGGGCAATAGGGGAATATGGGCCCCTGTGTCCTTGCCCACACTCAAAGCACACCCAAAACAAGCCTATAAAAAAGGTACCAGGGGCATTTCATGGGGCCCTCTACTGACCCCGGGCCCTTGGGCAGTGCCTGAGTGCTCGAATGGTCAGTCCGCCCCTGGTAGGATGCTATCGCTGTCCTCTCCTTTTCCGAATGTTTGTTCCCTAGTTGTTATGCCAATGCTTTGGCTTTGATCCTTTCTGAGTCTCTGACCTCCTACAGGTCTAGACATAATGATATGCTGTTAATTCTAAGTTTGCACATTGTACTGTTTTTAAATACCAAGGCCATTTCATATTTTTTTTGGGAGGTTGTTTAGATAATGATAATTTCAGATTTCAAATTGTAAAATGTTTTATTCATTCAGTTTGTACTATCCAAAGGCAGGGTCAAGCAACAGACATGAGATGTAAATTAAAGCAGCCCTCAACATCAGCTATCAATAGGAGGGCAAGTCTCAGCACTGCTGTTACAAGTGACACTGTTGTTCCTACTAGTGCTGTGCTTTCTTAAGCCATCGGCTGTAGTGCTGCTGCTATTAATTTTCTTCCTGCTGACTTTAAGTCTGACGTGCCAGAGTTGCTTGTCATACACAAAGACGTGCCCTTACTGTTTCTGAGGCAGAAACAGCTGCTGCTCCAACTTTTAACATAAAAAGAGCATAGTAGTTTAAAGAAGCAGTCTGCATTGTTAGTTTGATAGCATAAGCAATAGTGAAAATGTCAGTATAACCGTGACGATCACTGTGCTAAAGATTATTATCAACAGTTCTTTGTTGGGTTACTGTTCCTTTGTCAATTTCCCCAAAAAGTAGCAAAACTGTATAGTTGTATTGAACAATATATATTTTTTTTTCTTTTACTTAAAGGGACGAAAATAAAATTAGCTGCTGCACATTCTTTTTTTTACTAAGGAGGCTGTTTATCATAGTGATGGACCAGTTGGGAGTGTGTTGGGGTAGGGTTTAGATGCAATGGCCAAGTCTACCCAAATATTCTGCTTTTGCCCTTAACAGTAGAGTTTTGGGAGGCTGCTGCACCCAGAGTTTTTTTTATCTGCATCAGATGTGATTTTTTTTAGCTCTCATCAAAGATTCTCTTTAGCTGTCCATTAGGGTGTCTTTCCCTTCAAGCTCTGGTGCATTCTGTAGAACATAGGGGGTTATTTACTAAAATTTGAGAGTGCAAAACCTGGTGCAGCTCTATATAGAAACAAATCAGCTTCCAGGTTTTATTGTCAAAGCTTAAGGCTTGGTTCATATATGTGCGGGTGGTGCCGCTGCGGATCTGCATGAAAATCCGTGCAGCCGCACCACCCGCACAGAAGAATGCGGACACGCAGGCAGGTGGCATTAGTTCTAATGGCACGCCGCCTGCACTGACAAACAAAACCCTATTGTGAACTGAGGTTCCCGTGTGGGCTGCGTTTTCAGAAGAAGTGCAGGGACTTCTTCCCTACGTGTCACAGGACACAGGAGTCTATTCAAATGAATGGACTCTTGTGCCAGCGCAAAAAACGTGGCCCACATGGCTGCATATATGTGAACCAGGAGTAACTGAACAAGCTGAAATTAAAAGTTGATTGGCTATCATGCACAGCTGCACCAGATTCTGACTGCACCAGTTTTAGTAAATCCACTCCATAGTGTGTGCTTTTAAATGGTTTACCAATGCACCAGTAAAAAAATGCATGCACCATTTTAACCATGCAGAGTACAGTAGTTATGCCACAAAGCATCTGCATACAATTAGTGCATTGGGGTGCAAATAAAAATGGATGGGACCAATGCACAATAACAAGTGTATGGTACATGAACATATAAGTGTGAACGGGCCTTTAGGTTTCCACATGTTTTCATGTGTGACGCTGAAATAGTTAACACATTTTGCAGGAGCAAATTGGATCATGCATTGCTGTTTTTTTTTTTGCCTTCCTCTGGATCAACTGTAGGTATAGGATTATAAACTTTTTTTTTTTTTTTTTTTAAATGGTTGAACTGGATGGACTTTTGTCTTTTTTCAGCCAAACTAACTATTTAACTATAACTATATGTATACAAAAGGGTTTCCTAACCTCTTCCCACCCACCATCTGTATCTAAACATTTCCCAGGGCAATTCAGTGCTAGGGATATGTTTATAAGGGTCAGTTCACACTATAGAAACAGTCCAGATGTCTTTCAGATGCATTTCTGCATGCACGTTTTTGACGTTTTTGGCATGTTCCGCTGCATATTTGATGTGTTTTTTTATGCGTTCCAGTGCGTTTTTGATGCCTTCAAGTTCATTTCCCCCCCTCTCTTTTTCTTCAATTTCAATAGGGACATGTGCATTCCAGTGTGTTTTGATGCGTCCCAGTGCATTTTTGATGCATTTTACCGTGTTCCAGTATAGTTTTGTTCAGGAAAAAAGCAGCCTGGCATAGTTAAAACAAAATTTTGCATTCACATGACGGTTTTCTAACCTCTTCCCACCCGCCATCTGTATGTAAAAATTTCCCAGAGCAATTCTCAATGCTAGGGACATGTTTATAAGGGCCGGTTCACACCACAGAAACACAGTCCAAATGCGTTTTGGATGCGTTTCTGAATGCACACTTTTTACGTGTTCTTGGTATGTTCCAGTGCATTTTTTATGCGCTTTTTTACGCATTCCAGTGCGTTTTCGATGCATTACAGTTCATTCCCCCTGCTCTTTTTCTTAAATTTAAATAGGGACATATGCGTTCCAGTACATTTTAGGTGTGTTCCAGTGCATTTTTGATGCGTTTTACCGCTTTCCAGTACAGTTCTGTGCAAGAAAAATGCAGTCTGTTCTACTTTTCTTTTTGCATGTGGAATGCACTGGAACTGCAAGCACTGATGGGAACTATGACATTGACAACCATACAACCTACTTTCTGTGCATTTTGCATGCAGAAAAAAAGCACATGGAAATGCATGAAGTGTGAACTTCACCCCAGCAGAGCCACCTGACACTTAGTGCAGCAGGTGGCTCTTAATTCCAGCTGTCACTGACTGACAACCATGGTACTCAATCAAGTGACCACTATGTCTATGTACACTTTTATCTTTTTGCCAGCCTAAAATTTGAAAAAAAAAAAACAGTGTGCAAGCAAAAGTCCTCCATGACCTTAAAAAATATATAAAAACATAGGTATGAAAATTAGTCATAGAGTTATTGTGACGTTAACCCATGTTGACTAGACTTGATCTGGGCACAAAATTGTTAAACTCAACTAAATTTGCAACGTGTCAGCTGGAGAGTTAAGACTATACTGTAGTTAAAAAAAAACAGAATTTTGTGGGGGTTTTTTTTCTTCTTTAAACCATGCAATTAGGATACATTCACCTGGACGATGGGGTGCAGACAGGGGCGGACTGACAACTCATGGGGCCCCGGGCAATAGGGGATCATGGGGCCCCTGTGTCCTTGCCCAAACTCAAAAAAGCTATGAAAAAGATACCAGGGGCATCTCATGGGGCCCCCTACTGACCCTGGACTCTCGGACAGTGCCCGAGTTTCCAAATAGTCAGTCCGCCCCTGGGTGCAGATAGTTTTCTGCATTCAGAGGGGGCTAAACACTGCCTTTGGGTGCAGAAACCCTTTGTGTCATGGCATACAAACTGGCTGAATTAGCTGTTGATGGAAGGGCGCTGTTGTGATGGCAGTTATGATCGTTAATTGGAGGAGAAGGGAGACAGATCAAAGGACAGTGTTACGTTCACCTTTTATAAAGAAAAAATATAATTAATGCACATGTTTTTACATGTAA